GAAACCCTTGATAGAAAAACAGTTTGTTTCTTTATTGTGCTCCGTGCAAAACACCAGGAAACGAATGGTGTAAAAGAACACAAAAAAAACCAAGCTACAGTCTAGATCTTTGAACTGAAACTCAAATGAGCTGCAGATGTTGTTAAAAGCAATCACACATGAGCACACACACAGACAGACAATCAGCATCGACCAACAGAAAAGAGGAAGCAGTCCAGCTGTGCAATGTTTTACTGTGGTGCAGGCCTCAAACCATTTTGCATATCAAGATTACGGCCAAATCGCAACATTCAGCCAACTATCAAATGATCACCTTCCTCTTTACGAAAGAGTCAACAGCTTTGGTAAAGTTTCTGACAAACATTCAAACGGGAAAAGTTTTGGAATATTTATCTGGAAGTTTTAGAAGAAAATAAAAACCTCCACTCCTGACATGTAAACATTTTGTGGATTAAATCAAGTGAGCTCTGGTCATGTACAGCTTTTAGTTTTACATTTATCAAATGAATTGTGAGGAATAAAAACACAACCCAGTTTACAGCTGACATTCAAACAATAATCTTTTATTCAAGGCCAATAACCCTTTAATGCAGTATTCAAATGCTATTTCATCTAAACTGGTATTTCATTTTAAGTTAAATTGAACATTTATTCAACTGTTTTGCTTTAAGATTTCTCAAATTCTTTAAATATTATTCAATATTTTTTGTTGTCTGTTGTGCATTTTAAACTGATCTTGTTTTGTCGCACACTTAAAAGAAGAAATGTCACACTTGAGCACCAGCACTAAACCAAAACAAACAGCTCCTCCAACCTCTCTACATACCCTGAATTAGAAAGCGCCGTAATTAAACACCGTTAAGTACAAGCGGCAGAAAAAAATGTCTTTTGATCAAGTTGCAATTTCCTGTGGCCTTCGTTGTTGTGTTAGCAGGCTAATGTTAGCACACATTGGTTAGCTCATAGCTTCATATTGCACATTGGCACAGAATGACCGTGCTCTAAAGATCAGAAGAATATAAAAGCCCTATACTAGCTCAAGTCCATTTACCAGAGAGAGGTCAAAACAGCCAGTACAATCATAGAGAAACCACAGATGTCACTTTGTGAACGGCATATACAGAACAAAAAAAAGAAACCACTCGACATGACAAGTGACCCCCCTCATCTACTGCACGTTTGAAGTTCCTCCATCAGGTCGACGCTTCAGACCGCCAAGAGTCAGAAAAAAATGTTCATAATAAATCATTATGAACATTTGCGTAGCGCAATAAAATTCTTCTTAAAAAAAAATGATGTAGAAAAAAAACAAACATCTTGCCCCCCCGACAAGATCCTTTAACTGCACAATGGTTTATGAAATGACAGTCTTTAAAAGCTCTAACTATATGAAATGTCTGTTTAAAACAACTTTATTACTTAACTAAATACTGTTTATACAAAAAAAAGTGGACGCTGATGTTGTCGAGGACTCCAAGCACTCTTCTAATCTGTTGCTGAACTGAAATGTTTCTTGTTTGTCATCATGTTCTTGTTTTTGTTCTTATGAAGCTAAAGACAATTTTCCACACTGTGGACAAATAATGTTCTGTTCTTCTTTTCTTCTATTCTATTCTACTCATCATACTTTTGTCTTCATATTGTGTTTCTTTCCTCCCCAAGCTAACAAAAACATAATAAAGTAAATAAAAATAAGTATTGTTCATTTCAAACCTCTCTGCAGCTCCTTTCCTCCGAGCAAATTCAAAGTACGATTCGAATCAATCGTTTCACTTCTGACAAAACATTTCTGCGTTATGTAAGCAAATCCCACTTGATTTTAGAGTTAAGCTGCTTCATGTAAATAAAAGATGTGTCCTACTTACATTTCTCCCAGTGCATATTTCTCATTTGGATTGTTTTCTATAGTCAAAGTAAGCCAAATCAAAGTGGCGGGTTGACTGACGTTCTTTATAAGGGTCTGAAGTCAGTTAAATATCCCCTTGAGATGTGACAGCTTCTGGAACCACAAATCTCCCTCCTGCAGCTAGTTTCACTGCTTGAGCTGAATCATAACTATGAGAGATAAAAGGTATGAAGAAGAGAAACAAAATGTGTTAGTAACTAGAAGAACTACAGAGGCAGGAACTACAAGAAGAAGAATCTTATTCTTTATAACATAGAGAATAATTTACAATTCAATTAGAATATCAATCATGCAAAACAGGTTTTCTGTAGCCAATTGAGACAGAATGACATTTGTTAAATCCTCTGAGTGAAATTAGATGTTTGACTTTGTGACTTGATTTCAACTATACAAGCTGACAAGCTGTTTTCTAAATGCTATTAAATTTAAAAAAAAGAAGAAAAAAGCATTAGTTTAAGGCAGTGGTTCTCAACAGGAGGGCCGGGACCCAAAAGTGGGTCGTGGAGCTGTTTTCAGTGTCACAAATGTGTGTCTGGAAAAATATATTATGTCAAAAAGAAGCTTTTTGTTTTGTTTTGCTTTATGTTTGTTTCCTGTTTTGGTCTTCTTACAAAACTGTACCGTACCTCAGCTCCCCTCTTGTTTGTATGCTTTTGTTTCTCTTTTTTTTTGTGCTGTTTTTTGACATGTATGCCCGTATTGGTGAATGAAAGTAAAAAAAAGTGCACTTTTTAAACTATTTTTGTTCAGTCTCTTAGTGTTGTCACATATTGTAACTTCTGAGGGCAAAACTGCATACTATTTCAATGAATAAATCTGATTGGTTGAGAAGTAAATCGTACATTTGGGTCAACATTTTTTCATGAGGGAGTTGGTGGTTGGTCCTGACTCCTGAGGCCAGATCAGTTGAGAACCACATGAAGGTGACACAACTGTAGACGCTTGAAACAAATGTAGCATCTACTGATTAAAATAAACATATTTTACTTATAGACTGTACAGTCTATGATTTTACTAACATTGTTCAGTGAAATAGATAGATTCTGAAAGTTGGTTTATATGGAATCTACGCCACAGCTATGCTCTAGTGGTCTTTGCCGTTGTGAGGACGGGGTCAGCCCTATGTTCCCACATTTCTATCCATGAGCCTATGATGCCTCCAGAGGGCTGGAAAGTGACTCCAAGCATCCCAGGAGCACCCCCTCTCTATGCCATTGAGACAGAATGACGTTTGTTAAATCCTCTGAGTGAAATTAGATGTTTGACTTTGTGACTTGATTTCAACTATACAAGCTGACAAGCTGTTTTCTAAATGCTATTAAATTTTAAAAAAAGAAGAAAAAAGCATTAGTTTAAGGCAATGGTTCTCAACAGGAGGGCCGGGACCCAAAAGTGGGTCGTGGAGCTGTTTTCAGTGTCACAGGTTCCAGAGGTTTTGATGCACTGCAAACTATGGTTTGCCTCCAGTTTCTGCGCTTCATTCGACTGATCTGACAAGAAGCTAGTCAAAGTGAGGCCTCTGTGCTACTTAGTTTAGTTTGTTTATTTAAAAGGACAATGTGCACTTACATTAAATGTTTGCAATAAACAAAGAGATGGGCGCACCAGATTTAGCTAAAAGCTATATTCCATCTGTAGTCCATTGCTACTGGATAATAGGTTGGGTGTAATTGGCGACTAAATTGGGAGAAAGGGGGATAAAATCTGATACAAATTTATGAAAAAGGAAACGTGGGAACATAGAAATGTGGGAAGATAGGGCTGTGGGAACATAGAAATGTGGAATCATAGAAATGTGGGAACATAGAAATGTGGAATCATAGAAATGTGGGAACATAGGGCTGTGGTAACATTGGCATGCTCCCGTGAGGACTACATACTTGATTGTTGGTGTGTCTGCGTAGTTCTGCAATACTCTGCCTAAAAACACTAATTGTCAGTGCGATTTCTGTGCAAGATATATCGCTAATTTTGGAGATGTATGAGCAGATGAATAGCGTTCTAGCTTTTGTGTTTCTGCAGAATTTTGAACATGGTGGCTAAACTGGAAATGTTGTAAATAGTAGAAATACGATACCACAACACAGACCAAGGGCAGGGACTGCAGTCTGCATCGTTTTGACACGTAGTGACATGTTCGAGTTATTATGTTGCTTGAATTCTGATGTATGGGTTCTGATGTCGGTCTGGTTTTTGTTTGGGTTCTTTTACTGTTAGGGGTTTTGCTGTTGTTGGGTGTCTCTTCCGTGGGTTGTGTTGTTGTCGTGTTTTGATGTGATTTTGGTTCGTATGTGTTGTTGTTGTGTTTGCTTCTGCACATGTCAAAGCACTTTGTAAACCCTTGTTTGAGTAGGTGTACATACACATGCATAGGAAATCAAAGCTACCTTAATGTATTCAAACTTAAATCACTTTTTATTAAGACCCACCTTTGAGTTTGTTCACCACTGAAGAGGAGCCGACACGGGAATGATATAAATCTTACAACCGGGTCTGTCTGGCTGCCATACCTGGCCGTGGCATTTTAAACAAAAGTGTTTGCCAAGGTCGTCCTGTTCGGGCATGTGAGTAGAGAATCATCCCAAGTCACCGTGTTTATGGTGCATGATCAGACCATCTTGATAAGAGAAAACAGCTTTTATTCGGCTTCATATTTCAGCTGGAAAAATAAAGGCGAGTCATCTTTTTGTGCAGGTTCAATGTTGGTCAATGCTCTCTGATTGGCTGAAAGGAGGACATTAAGAGACTAAAAGGGTTTACAGTTGAATTTAGGGTTTGACTCGGCGCAGCAGAGATTACAGGTTGGGGGGTTAGGTATGGGTTTCTGTACAAAATCATAACCGGTATCCACTGTACATATCCTCCTCCTCCTCCAATTATCTATAAACAAATCAATGCCCAGAAACAAGTAGTTTGGAATTAGACATGAATGAGATTGATCTGGATGTGAATTTTATCATATTTTGCAATCCAGCCTATTCATCTGATGCCAAAGACTTAAAAAGACTTTTTAAATTCTACAATTCACTTCACATCAGAGAGTAAGTACAACACAAGCAAGGATCTAGAAAAAAAGGGAACAATGTCATAAGAGCAAACGATCAGCTTTGAGTCCGATTGGACACACAGGTGCTGACAGGAAGTGACCAGAGGCAAAGCACAACATTGACGGCAGTTCTTGAGAGCTCTAATCAGTATAGAAATCATCAAATAAGTCATCGTTATCAAACAAAAACCATTGTCATTACCATCATCATCATCATCAATAATATGGAGACCATCATCATTAAGTTAGTAGGTATTCATGAAAGAGCTGGGTCTTTAGCTTTTTCTTAAAGGTGCAGAAGGACTCTGCAGATCGAATGGAGTTTGGAAGTTCATTCCACCACCGGGGTGCAACAGAGGAGAAGAGTCTAGTCAGAGACTTAGGACCCTGTTGTGAATGTTGGATCAGACGCCTTTCATTGGCAGAGCGTAGTGGGCGGGAGGGAGTGTAGACCTGGATGAGAGCATTAAAGTAAGGAGGAGCTGTTTTTGTCGCTGTTTTATAAGCGAGCAGCAGAGTTTTAAATTTGATGCGAGCAGTAACTGGGAGCCAGTGTAAGGAGATGAACAGCGGAGTGACATGTTCTCTTTTAGGAAGGTTGAAGACCAGTCGTGCTGCTGCATTTTGTATCATCTGCAGGGGTTTGATAGTGCATGTAGGAAGACCTGCCAGTAGAGAGTTGCTAAAGACTGGGGATCTTGCAGGGTCACTAACTGCAAGACTACAACTAGGTTATTTTTGAGATCATTTCCCATCATGCACCTGGTGGAAATTTACAACTACAATTTTTGAGCAGAAAACCAAAAAGGTGGGAAAACTGGTGGAGGTGGGGAGAGAGCATGTAACATTACTGATTGTAAGTCAACATCAAAATTGGGATTTTAAGTTTGGCTGTTCGGCACTGGTGGTGAGCAAAAAGATGTCAGGAGGCAGAAACAGATGCAAAAATGAGGTGGTTGATTTATTTACCAAAAATGGCAAAAACAAATCGGGTAATCTGATAAAACAACTAGATTAAATAAACTGAAAGAAAACACAGCCTCACAGCAAGCTGCCACCAACAAAACATCTTTCCCCCCAGACTCTGGCTGAGCTGAAGGCTTCACTAAATGTCTAATTAGGCTCAGGTGATTCAGCCTAATCACTTCTGCAAGCTGCAGTCAGTGTGGGGAAGGTGGGGGCAGGTGAAAGGTATGGGAGAACCTTTTCACAGAGCAAGACCGCCTCTAATAAGAGTCCTCCCTTCTTTCAACGAGCGTGGAGATGGAATAAAGGAATTTCTGCAGATAATCCAGATAATTCAATTCAAGTGACAACCAAGGGGTTGCAGATGACCTAGTGGTTAAGTCGTGCCTCATGTTTGGAGGCTATAGTCTGCAAAGCAGGTTGCCTGTGGTTCCTTTCCTGCATGTCCTTCCCCACTCTCTCTCCCAGATTTCCTAATCTATCAACTTTCATCAAATAAAAGGCATTAAAAGCCCAAAAATAAACCTTCACAAATAAAAAGTGACAACCAGAAAATTATTATTCAATTCAGTTCGCTAGCTATTGTATATACTGTGTAGGGAATTTCGAGGGTGGGAGATATTTCTTTTAACCTTTTTAGAGGTTTTCTTGCGCTCTCTACTACTCCACCAGATTCTGCTTCTTCTCCATGGTCCAGGAGAACCACACTTTCCTTCTCCTCCCCGCCATATTAACTAGTTTGCAGCTTCCTGTTTGTTGCTGGTGAGACCGCTCCTATTGGTTGTTGACAATGTTCAATGTTTAATGTTTTACACCAGACTATCGTTGCTGCATTTCAGTAACTTTAAAAAAAATGATAGACAAAAAAGGGTTCCTCTATAGACCATAACACAAAAGAGGTCGATGAAATAAAGAACAAACACACGGGATTGTGTAATTTGTCTATGACCTGCAATTTCCACAGTCTATGAACGCCGCGTTCCGACAGCAACGCGCACTACAGAGCTGATCGCTCCCTCTATAGCCAATGCTCCTGTTCCCCCCTTTGAATCACACAGGCTGTATCCAAAGTGCTTCCATTTTCTTCTGTTAAAACTGCCTCATCAACTGATGCATTTCCCTTCCAAAGCACCGATGTGGCACCATCCTGTGCACCATACCGAGCTGCAGGCT